TCCCTGCTTTGTGGAGGCTCTTGTGAACCCCCTGTTCTCACAACCATCACACTCTATTATACAGCATCTTTACAGGTAGTCCTCAATTTACAACCAGTTCCTTGTTCACTGTTCTAAGTTATAACAGCACTGAAAAAGTGACTTATGACCATTTTCACACTTACGACCACTGCAGTATCCCCGTGGTCACATGATCAAAATTCAGAAGCTTGGCAACTGATTTGTATTTATGAAGTTTGCAGCATCCCGGGGTCGTGTGATCACCTTTTACAATCTTTTCACAAGCAGTCAATGAAAAAGCCAGATTAATTTAACAACCAGAGTCATTCACTTAACAACTGTGGCAAGAAAAGTAGCGAAAGGGAGTAAAACTCACTTAACTGTCTTGTTTAGCAATGGAAACTGTGGTTGTAAGTCAAGGACTAATCAAGGACTATCTGTATTTTATGTAGAAGTGGCCACTAAATTACTAATAGGTTGTCCACACAGATTCCCTGCCTAATCTACAGTCTAATCAGCTACTTTAAATGATTGGTATTTTTGGAGAGGAGTGACAGTCAACTTGCAGCATGAAATTGTCCAATAGAAAAATCATGCAGAAACTCCATTTTTATTATATCATAGACTGACACCTAATGGGATCAGTAGGAATGGCCTAGTTCAAAATACAGGTAGTTCTCAACTTACAACAGTTCATTTAGTGACCGCTCAAAGTTAGAACAGCACTGAAAAAGTGACATGACTATTTTTCACACTTATGCCCATTGCAGTATCCCCATGGTTACTTCCAGGGAAGAAATGATGGATTGAAGACCAAACTCCGGACATCTGGCAACTGACTCATATTTATGATGTGTGCAGTGTCCAGGGGTCATGTCATCAATCACCTTCTATGACCTTCTAACAAGCAAAGTCAATGGGAAAATCGGATGTACTCAACAACCACATTACTAATTTAACAACTGCAGTGATTCACTTAACCACGGTGTCAAGAAAGGTTGAAAAACGGAGCCAAACTCACTAAACTAATGTCTCACTTAGCAACAGAAATTTGGAACCAGTTGTAGTCCTAAGTCATGGACGACCTATAGTAAGGGTAGATCAATGGCTGCACATTGTGTTCTCCAAGGCTTCTTGGCAATTTCATTCTCCTCTTATTCTTATTTTAAACCTTCCGCGTTATTGCTACAGTGCTAAATTGCCACTGAGGAATGCTGCTGCTTTGCTGCAGCCTTATAAAGGTTTTCAAGTCATAAAGAGGATGTTTCACCTCCCAAGGTGATTTTGGGGAGGCATGCTATACATGAGCAATCACTATTGTCTTTATTGCTTTTAAGCAACAGTGATTCATGCTGTACAATGGGAGAATTATTGCAAGTCCCAAATATTAGGGTGTCACCTTATGCCAATCTAAAGATTTTATTCTGGCCCACTATTGCAAAGACTTCAACATATCCGAGGGGAACAGCAGAGTGTTATTTTCCACATGTTGTAACTTTATCTAACTTTTGTAGATTTTGATTTACTATTTTAATGGAAGCAGGTTGCAATCTAAAATATTGACTATATATTTAAAATCAGTAGCAGCCAAAAATGATCATATTTCTTCAAATAATGTGCTTGTTAGGGAGAAATCCTCAGCCAATACTTTAAGAATATTTCATTGATTTGGATAGTTCCTGGGATTCAGAACTCATACATACCCAGAGATCTCTATTCAATTTAAATGGGAAATCGCTGATAGGTATAGCATCCAAGCAGGTAAATGCTTTCCACTGAAATGAATGGGAATGTATTTCTAAAGATGCATTGGATCTATCTGCTAAATCTGCTGCATTTAAAACTACAACATTTAAGAAAAGACTTCCAGAGAAGAAATGGTGGATTGAAGACAAATCTATGAAAAACAGAGCTGACCACTGACTGCAGTGGAATGAAGAGTCACCGAGTAGACTGCTTTTTGATAATTCCTCTCTGGACAGGGAGAGGGCTTAAGATCACCCACAAGTGCTCCAGACAGTTCCTCCTTGTAAGAAGACTGCCAGACAGCAGTCTCCAGAAGGTTTAATCTTCTGAGAGACGAGGAATAGCCAACTTGTTCAAACTGAAATCTGTGCCTTTGAAATGACACTAGGTTCACATTTTCTAATCAATTCTGGAAATTGATTGTTGATTGCTTTTCAACTGTTAGGAAACGAGATTGACAAGAATTATACCATGTTTCTCCAAGAATACGGCCACTACCAATAGGAAGGCCCAGCATGATTTCTAGGCATGAGGTAAAATTAAGCCCCACCTCCAAAATTTAGGCCTATTTAAACCATGCGTTTCCCTGCCATTTCTCACATCGTTTGTTAGAACTACACAAGGTGAAGAGAAATGGGGGGAAGGGTGGGGGTGGGGTGGGGAGAAAACTTGCCTTTAGGAGTGCCCTGCAGGTAGACTAGGCTAGAATACCCCGATAGCCAATAGAAGCTCCCCGAAGGCAGAATCCCCAGCTGCTTCAGGGCGTGGCATGGCTGCCCATGTCCCCTTGCCTTTAGGCTGTCCCTTTCGGGCTATGGAAGCTCCCCAAGTGCAGTCACCAGCCACTTCGATTGGCCAGTAGAAGCAGCCTTGCAGCAAGGGGAGTGTGTGTGTGTGTTCGCTCGCCCCGAGGTCGCTTCTACTGGCCTATCGAAGTGGCTGGTGACTGCACTTGTGGAGCTTCCATCGCCCGAAAGAGACTGCCTAAAGGCGAGAGGACATGGGCAGCCATGCCACGCCCTGAAGTGGCTGGGGACTCTGCCTTCGGGGAGCTTTCGTCGGCCGATAGAAGTGGTCTCGTGGCGAGGTATGTGCATATGGGCTGCTCTAGTTGGGAGAGGAAATTAAGTCACCCCCGAAAGGGATGACATATGGAAAAAAGAGATCATTTGCTGTATTTTAAGAAAAGATGATAAGTTATTACAATTGCTGTGATGAAGGGATAAGTCATTTCTTTATACATTTCTTTTTCTTCGCTATTTTCTTATTTTTTATTTCTGTTTTTTCTTTTCTGCACCTCACATTTTAATTAATTTATTAATTTTTAATTTCTATTGATTTTTATCATAATTGTATTTTTTAATAAAATTACTATTAAAAAACTAAAAAAAAACTAAAAAAAATGAAGATAGCAATAATTACTGGAGTAAAATTTTGACTCTGAACTTTACTAAATCTGAAAAACATATGCACGCATGTGTGCATGTGTGTGCACACGCACACACATATATAATCTTTGTGTGTATGTGTACATACATATATATATATATATATGGTAGTTTCATGCAGAGGCTGCCTATCCCCTATTCTAAATCATTTCAGATATTTATTGAACTGGCTAAATAAATCTGTTTACACACAATAGCACAAAGATTGCATTGTCTGTTCTCTATGAGCATGTAAGTTCAGCAGCTATCTTGTGCATTGATTTATAAGGACACAGATTTTAGGAACCTTAAGGATTTCTACACTAATGTAAAATCATATCCTTTCTTTGTGAAATAGAAGTTCACATTTTTCTGTACTCTTAAATATGACTAAAGTTTAGGGTTTCGGAGATCTAACTCATTCACAACTCAGTCTTTTTTTAGGCATTCTTTTGACCTTTACAGAATGCTAAAGTCATTAGTCTGAATGGCATGCTGCAGTGTGATCATTACCAGTTTGTCAATAATCACTAACAACAGTGAATGAAGAGTACCTGTCACCACCCCACTCTATTGATCAAAGGTTTCTCGGTTGTATTTTACTGTGACACAATTTAGAGTCCAAGGAGTCAAGGAGAGTGCTTTTGCTTTGCTTGTTGACAACTAGGGATGGGGATTAAAAATTTAAAGTTATGAAGAATATATGATTATACTATGGTATTTTACCATATATATATATGGTATTCAGCTTTGTTCAGGTATTCTCCCACGTTATTATAGTTGTGCTTTTAAAGTTGTAGCAACGTTTCAGCAGAATCTCATCTGCCATCATCAGGCTTCTGTATTGTGTTCGTCTGTGAGTCAGACTTTTTTTCTTCATCCTAATTGGTTGGGAGTCTTGGTCTGTGTTTATTGGTCTTGGAGTTTGCTGTGTTCTGCTTGATTGGTGTTTCTAACAGAAGCCTGATGATGGCAGATGAGATTCTGCCGAAATGTTGCTACAACTTTAAAAGCACAACTATAATGATGTGGGAAAATACCCAAACAAAGCTGAATACCATACATGTAAGTACCCGCGAAAACTTCACACACACACACACACACACACACACACACACACACACACACATATATACACACACACACATATATACACACACACACACACACACACATATATATATATATACACACACACACATATATAACATATATATTATATGTGTGTGTGTGTGTATGTATATGTACATACATACATATATATATATGTTTCTTATAATGTAAAGCTAAACTTGTAAGCTTTCCATGAGCTCGTAATGACACTGGATATTGGAAGTTTACATTAAAGCGTGTGAGCTTCCATTAATGTTTTAAAATTAAATTATCTTTAAAAAAACATACTGAGACCAGAGCATGACAGATGCTAAAAGTGTCTATGCTTGCATGGTACTACAAGCAGTAAATTATCCACATCTCATTTTGAGCCACAAGAGGTCCTAAGATATTCTTGTTCTGGCCATCAAATACAAATAGTACAATGATATGACAAAATTTGTCTCTATGAACTCTTCCCAGAGCAGTAGTTTCTAATGGTTTGCCCACACCACCAAACCTGGTGTGAATACTAGAATGGCTTAATCAACTATCTGACATCTGCCACACTAAAAACAGATTTCATTTTCCAGTAAGATAAAACTTGCAAGATATTTTTTTTTTAAATTGAATCTTTTAATATGTAACTGATAGCTTAATTTTCATAATAATTATATGAGGTGGGGTAATCAAAGAAAACAGTAAGGAAATAAGTAGCATAATTATTGTACTTACTTTGAGAGACTCTTACTAGCTCTGTGACACTGAAAACACCTGATGTGACAAAACTGTCTTGGAAGCCCAAATGTCCTAAAAAATACAAGAAAGATTTTGTTATCATTAAGCACTTAATGATAATATTCTCAAATAAATCAGTATCAGTTTTAATGTGGAAGAAACTGAATATTTAATTTTTCACTTATCATTAATTGCTATTTTGCTAGACCGATATATGTTAAGAATTTAGAGAGTTTAACCCCATAGATTAGCCATGAGAATCATACTTGTTAAAACACCAACCCTGGAAACCTGAAAGAAAAGAAGGTCATTTTAATAAATATTTACTTTACCTTACCATAATTACTTAACTACTGAAATTAAATCACCATACCTAGCAATGGGGTAACTCATTTTAAATATTATTTTTCATAGAAATATTTAGTCAGGAATATTCATTAATATGTTCAAAGCAGATTATAAGTATGTATTCTTTATTTTCAGAAGTTGCATTAAGGAAATCTTAAAAGAACAGCTGTTTTAAAAGGTTTTGAAAATATTCTCAAAAGAAAAGGAAAGAAAAAGAAAAGAAAAAGGAAATCCCTTAAATGAATTTTGCAAAAAGGTAACACAATCTTTACATAAGAAAGCTTCAGTCCTCCAAAGCTCTTTCAGAGATAAAGGTGTAAAGTTGTTTGTTGTTATTATAAAAGCATTTTACATCAAATGTTATCTTTCTTTATGTAGCCAATTGTATTTATTTTTCAAGATTATATAGGTGCCCATGTCACAAGTGACTTTGGGCAGTGTATTACAGTGTATTACAAAATTTAAAAAAAAACAACCATTCATAAATAACAATTATAATGATGTTTAAAAATGTTTAAAAATATAAAATGCAGCTAAAAATAATTGGTGAAGGGAGCTTAATAATAACTGTGATGTCTTACTAGTTTGCCAGTTCCCTGGTGTACCTAAGCCTAATGGCACAACTAGGTCTTGAGAGACTTTTGGAAAGTCAAGAGTGATGATACCAGCCTAACATAAGGGGGAAGACATTCAACAACATGGGTGCCACAGCCAAGAAGGCCTGCTGCTTTGGGTCCACCAAATGTAACTCTTTAAATGACGGAACCTGCATCTTGCCTTCTATTATGAATCTGGTAAGGTAGAGAAATGTAATTCTATAAATGTGTAATTGTATACATATAATTGTATAAATTTAACAGCTTCAACCTCAAACTGTCTACCATGGACCTCACCATGGGTGAGGTCCTTAAAGGGGACATGCATATGTGCACCAGCGTGCCTTCCGTCCCTGTTTTCCTGTCCCCATTTATTTGTATTTACTTCCTTTGTTCCTGTTTATGTTCATACTTATACTTGTTATCTTGTACATGTTTGACAAACAAATAAATAAAATAAAAATAAAAAATTGGGAAATGGCAGTCCATCTAACAACCTGGCTCTGCAGGATTATTTTGAAGGCCATTACTTTGAAGGCCCAAATGTCAAAACCAGTAGGATATCCTGGGTTTAAGTCCTATGAACCACCTCTGTTATGAGGCACAAATCAGAATCTGAGTTTGACAATGTAGCTCCAGCTGAACCTGTGGATTGGCAGCTTCAGAAATCATTAATCCAGGATTCATTTGAGACTAAGTAGCCCCGGGCATCTCCTGTTGAACAGTCAAACAATGAGAAACCGTCCCGAGGCCCTCCCCATCTTCCCCCCATTAAGCAGAGCAATGCTCCTCAATGAGGCCCTTCACTAGGCAAACAGTAAGAAACGAATAATTGAAGCCAGGTACCTGCAGATAGATTTATGTAGCTGCTTTGCCTTTAAGAAAACAGTTGTTTTCTTTGTTGGAAATCACTAGTTTGTGATGTTTGTTCTTCCATTTCCTAACGTGACTTACTTTATTCTAAAGTATTGGATTGACTCACTATGTGACTTTAATTCCTGGAACAAATTTGGACCACTCTATTACTAATTAAATTCAAGCTGACTTATTCAGGCAAGCTCTCTTTGCACAGATCTTGTCTACTGTTATCTACTTAGTCCCATAGCAATTGTATCTTCATGTGTTGGTCTGCAAACCTCAGAGAGAGTAATCTCTATCTTAGGCTAAGCTTGATCATATATTATCAAGTTCAAGTCATGAATATCTTCTTGTGACCAAACATAATTTGAGGTAATGTGTAAAATCTATCCAAATCTATAGATTAAGCAAAATAAACCCTCACCAAAATCACAACCCAGTAATTCATTTATTGTGTTATGTATTTATTATAAAAATTTATGCCAAGCTTCCTCTTTTAAATAGAGAAACACAAGTATAAACATCAAAATAACTCAGAGGGAAAATAAAACTGAAGTACATTTTCTTCTTACTTACACACAAAGTCCTATCACATATTAATTGCCGTGCCTCCTGGGAGATTATGGGTATATATAATCATGTATTTTCTCACAATACCTATAAACTAGATACCTATGACATTATTTACAGGGGCACTTTGAAAGAATAACTGAAACAACAGCAATATGCCAGAACAGGGTGAAAAAGGAAAAAAAAACAGTGTAAAAACACAGCTGGAAATGAGATGGTATTATTAAGGAATGGGGTTTTCAGCCTGTCCACTCAAACTCAGTGTTGCCAGCTAGAATAATTGTCAATATATAAAAGTAAAATATGGAATAACATTGTTGTAAAATGTGAGAATGACTTTGTGGCACAGAAGAGCCTCAGATTATGTAAAAGTCAGATAAGAGACAGCTGAGCCCGCAGAACAAATGAAGTATGGCAAACATCTAAGAAGGGATTATCTCTAGTTTCTTGGACTTTAAAGGCAAGGTGAAGGAGATGTAGTTTCAGACTTGCAAGATTATGTTAATGTAACCTTAAAATAAGGATAGAGATGGTACTAGATGTGCTTCTCATCTGGATTAATTTGCAAGGTTGACAATTATATATTTTTTCTTGTATACTACATAAGCTAAGACTAAATCACTGCCTGGCTTGGAAATTATCACTGTGACATTAATTCTGTGATATTCAAGCGTCAGATTAAGATTCATAAATGGATGGTGAAAGTTTTGTTCACATATATTATCAATATATTTTTAATACATGGCCTAGTGCATCATGTGCTGGCCACGCCCACACCTGGTTTAGTGAAGGGGAAAAAGTCCCAATACATCATGTGATGCCACCGTGATGACGTGAGTTTGACACCCCTGGCCTAGTGGACCAGTTTATTTGGACAAACATACCATAATTTGCTCTATGTATAGTATAAAGATAAATATACTTTCAGATATCATTACATCTACTTGAATCTGTTTAACAGTGTAAACAGATAGTTTAGGTCAGACTAATTTGTTTCTTATTTAAAAAATAAAAAGTATGCCAATAAAATTCTTTTGTACTTGATGACAGAATGGCTGTTTAGTTTAATAACCTTTTTTTAACTGAAATACAGTAGTTATCTCTCATTCCTTTCCCATTTTTATTCTGTCAAACTATCATCAACCTTTCATTTCTCTTGGAAGCTGGCAGAAGCTGGCTTTTTCCTGCTTTCAATCAACCTTCAATTGCTGTTTTTTGAAACACAGATCCAAAATTCTTTTAAGACAGCACTAAAAACATGTCTAAAAATCTTTTGTGTTTTTTTCCCAAAAGGACACTTAAAACTGTGTTTAGAAAGAGCCAGAATAAATCTGATGCTTTGGAAAGCATCAGATATTATGCAAGTAAATGCCTACACAAAAGACACATGTCTAATCCACCTCAGAAACTTTAAGATCTGAGGACTTCAATTCCCAGAATTCCGCAGTTAAAAAGAACGGATGTTGCTGTGGTCGAGAAGTACTAATCTACTCTATTTCCCTGAAAATACAACCTGGTGCCTTTTTTGGTGGAAAAAAATATGTCAGGGTCTTATTTTCGGGGAAATATGGTAATCTCTCTGAGGTAGCAAGGAAGAGGAGGATGGTGATGAGAAGGAAGGAAATGTACTTATAGCAGACCGGAATGTTAATAAAGCTAGACATATCTATCTGTTGAACATAGATAAATAAATTATTATCACTTCATGACAGAGCTGAAATAAAGACAGTCATCCTAAACTGTAATACAGGTAGTCCTCAACTTACAACAGTTCATTTGGTGACCGTTCAAAGTTACAATGGGACAGAAGAAGTGACTTGTGAGTTTTTTCACACTTACAACCAATGCAGCATCCCTGTGGTCACATGATAAAAATTAGAATGCTTGCTCAACTGCTGCATATTTACAATGGTTGCTGTGTCCCAGGGTCATGTGATCACCTTTTGCAGCATACTGAGAAGCTAAGTCAATGGGGAAGCCAGGTTCACTTAACAACTGGGTTACTAAGTCAAGAACTGCAATGATTCACTTAGTATTGATGGTAAGAAAAGTCGTAAAATAGGGCAAAACTCTTTTTAACAAATGTCTCATTTTGCAACATAAATTTTGGGCTCAACTGTGGTTGTAAGTCGAGGACAATCTGTATTGTAAAACTGTAATAGGGAATCAGGACAGCTTTTAAATTTGTCTCTAGACTGCCCCCAAAAGAGAAGAGCCTACAAAACATATCAAAGTTGTCACCATAAGTTACAATCCTACAAGGCTAGTGTGCATTTAAGTCCATGCAACTTAAAGTTGTTAGCTTCCCACTCAGTTGACTGAAAAACAGCTTAAGATAACCCAGAGATGCTCTCTTCAGTTTGGTTGTTTGCTTGAAGATGTTTTGATAGCAGGTTCTTAATAGCCAAAGAATATAATTAGAATTGAAACTTTAAAAGATGAAATAAGACGAGTAGCTTAAATAAGTTACTATTGCTATAATATTAAAAATGAAAAATTTGGAGTGAAATAAAAATTAACAATTTATTCATAGCACAGATACCCTTTAAGGATCTGCAGTACAAAAAACAACAGATGCCTCATTAGCATTTTTAGCTTTTGCACATTTCTAATCCAAAGAAAAATGTTCAGAGCAGAATCATAATTATTAATAAACATTTCCATTAGTCAGAGTAGATTATGACATACTCTTCAAATTCC